GGGCTCACTCCGTCCAGTGGTCGCTTTCGGGGTTATCGGCATCCCGCCACTGCCATCCAGTTGTTGGGACTCCGGGTCCTGCCAGTCTCGTTTTCGGTAGCTGGCCCCGTAGCAGGATCCATCGTCCGACAATTCAGTGAGAAGAAGTGCCCGAACGAACGACAGAGATTTATTTACATGTTGAGAAGTGATCAACTGATCCAAAGAGAGAAGAGAGAGAGAGAGATACAAAACGTCTTCGGCATTTTATAGCGCCGCGTTGCCAACACTGGGCGCATTGTCCGCATCGTCAGCCAATACGGTGGCCCCGGCACCTCGGCCACGAGGGAGGGGAAATACACCTCACAACACATGAAGGGGCACAACCTAACACGATGCCCAAATATGGTCACGACGCCCTAAAAAATGCCCAAACATGGTCATGAACGCACAGCAGATTCCGGAATTCTCCCGGCGAGAGGGAGGAGCCTGAATGGGGAGGTGGGGGTCGACGACACAGTCGGTCAAGAACCGGTTCTCCCCGCAACTCCTCTTGCTTCGTTGCCTAGCGCAAAACCAGTGCGTTGACCTTTGTTTTCGCTTGGCTGCAAGGCCGTCTCAGGTGCAGGCTATCCCAGGAATGCGTCGACGATCTCCCAGAGGGGTTCGCAAACCTTCGGAGAATCTAAACGCTGGGGCCGGTCGTAACAGTGCGCGTTGCGGCGTGTTTTGTATGTTGCATCGGTAACCTTGTCAAGTTATGAAGCGATACTGAAGCTGTACGGCTGCTTTCAAGTTGCAAGTGATAATCATGCACTAAAGAACGGCAACAGGGCCCCGGTAGGCCCTTCGTAGTCTACGAGTTTTGTGTTCGCTACTGGTGATGGCTGCTGAAAGCCACCAAGACGCATTGGGCCTGCCGTGTACCTAAAACTGGGATTGGTGGTAAACTTTATTTCTTCAGAAGGAAACTGCGGACAATTCTGTTAAATAGCCATCAGCCCAATACTGACGTTCCACGCTTACCTTTTGAGGGCTCCTGTTCCGAACGCTACCGCTACGCCCGCAACGTCCACAAGCTTTGCGTATGGTATTCTAATTCTCTACTATTTGCTTCCACTTTTTGTGTCTCAAATAAATCTTGTCTTGTGTTGAACCTCTGATTTTATTGTTGAGCTAAGTTTTAATTAGTACTTCTTAAAGCTTGCTGTTAGTTGCTGGTGTGAGAATCCCGATTTGCGGCCCCTTTGTTTTCTTTTTCGCTCTGTACGTTTTAGTAGAAAGTTTTGCCCGCATAATTATCGCACCCTCTAACTTTTCATCGGTTTTCCGGGAAAAAAAGTGCGAGGATTATGCGAGTAAATATGGTAATACTCTATTGCGAGCGAGATACTCTTATGCATAGTGAAATGATGGGTCAGTCATAGTAACCAACTGCCATGGCATAAGCTTCATAAATTTGGTATCAAACATTTGTAGGACTAATTAAACCCAATGAATTTGCTTTAAATCACAGCTATTTAATACACAACTACTAGGCAGAATTAAATAATGGGTCAATCACAGTAACCAACTTCTATGGTCTGCTCATGCATAAGCTTCACTGATTTGGTGTCGAACACTTGCAGGACCAATTAGACCAAATGAATATGCTTTAAACTTCCAGCTCTTTAACAGATGACTATTATACATAATGAAATGATGGGTCAGTCATAGTAACCAACTGCCATGGTATGCTCATGCATACGAGCATAAGCTTCACAAATTTGGTGTCAAACATTTGTAGCACCAATTAGACCCAGTGAATCTGCTTTTAAATTCCAGCTCTTTAACAGGACAAGGCTACTGTTTGTCAAGAACCAAGTGGGCTATATTGGCATGGCCCTTAAGGACTTATCTACCTAATAGGCTATTATTGCCAAAAACCTTGCACGCTACTAGTTTTATACTGCATTTCTTGCTGAATATAAGCTCGGAGCATTGTTGTGGTCAACATGTGTAAAAGAAATGGGAAAAAACTGGCTTCTTGTATCTCTCTTTGCATATTAACTAGTGAACAAACAGCCATAATGAAAGGCAAGACGTGTGAACTTGAGGTAGGTAGTTGGGACTACATGTAATCGGCATGGACGCAGAGACAACAGTAAGTATGGCACAAAAGTGGCAAGAAAACAAGGGAGTTCTTATACTTTAAGGCACATCACTGTGTATGCTAAGCAATAATGATTTAGAGCTTGAACACAATTCCATAGCCAGAAGGTTAAGCATCAAGGTTCACCTTTATTCTTGCACAAATTTGAAGTACAAAACAAAATAAAGGCACTAAAGTGACACTCAAAAGCACAGCCTAGACTGCCAGAAGCAACAGCAGCTGGCCATGGACTCATTGAAATTGATGTTCCGGGCACTAAATAAAGAAAAAGTAAAACCATAACATTTGAGCTCTATGACAAGCCCTGTCAGTGCCAAAAAACCTTGCTGACTGATGCATAGCTGCACTTACCTATACAGAGTGTCCCTGTTAACTCGCAGCATGATAAAAAAAACGAGTGTTACTTAAAAAAATCAACTTTATACATATTGTTCCTAGTACAATAAACTAGCTGATAATGCTTTTTTAATTAGATTTATTTATATTAATTAATTAAATATCTAACTCCAGAACTACTATTCTAATTGTTGAAGCGTCAATAAGGCAGTTGTAGTCATTCATGTGGGGCATCGAACTGCGCTATTTTCTGCGACGTATGAATAGCGTACTCAGTTTTTTTGAACGATAAACAATCCCCACGAAATATGAGAAGTACTAAGTGACAGTGCTCCCAGCCGCATCGTAAAGCAGTGCCCCCGAAGAAGCTGATTGAAAGAGATACCTTTGACACTCGCACAGCCAAAGAGACAGCTCATCCACTTGATTGTGATATGTAAACAGGAGCAAGCTACACGGCTTATGAGCAATTCCTTCCTGTCAGTTATACTTCGCTTTTCTTTCCCGCCTCTTACGACTTACTGATGCACTTCATAAAAATGGCTTTCGATAGCATGGTCAAAGTGCTGCTTGTACCACGGACTAAACCCGAAAAGCAACGAAACAGATAAAAAATACTAGAAAATATCAGTTCTACTCCCACTACAATGGAAGTGTGCACATGCAGCTGCACTCTTGCATCAGAAACTTACTTTGGAACAAGGCTAAATTAAATTTGGGGCTTGATTTTTCATAATTATGCACAAAAAAAGGCGTTTGGCAAAAATTAAACAAAACTGAAACAAGCACGCCTGAAAGCTAGCAACGTGTAGAAAGAAAGCAAAATCCATGCATTAAAGAAGTTGAGTGTGCCACTGCCAAATGTGTCGATTGGGCAAATGCGACGTCTGCGCAAAAGAACAAAAAAAGAGATAGATTTGCTTGTTGTTTACGACTGCTGCATTCGTAAGCACCATTGAGCACTCGATGCCCCTTAGAGAATGTGTTCAAATAGGTCTCCTACTGCAGGTACACAGTACTGAGCCACTTTACAATGTTCTCAGTTCCTTTCTCGATGACCTACGAAGGAATTCTGTTGCGGACATCCGTTATTCTGGCCTTCAGGTCATCTGGCGGCTTCGTCTCAGTCATGTAAACACAATCTTCCATGGCTGCGGCAGCTGCATTTTCGATGGAGCCGAAAATGCTGTGGGCCCATGTGCTCAAATTTGGATGCACGATAAAGAACCCCAGGTGGTCAAAATATCTGGAGCCCTCCACTACAGTGTCTCTTATAACCACATGGTGATTCTGGGACATTAAACCCACATATATATATATATATATATATATATATATATATATATATATATATATATATATATCAAATAAATATCAAGAATCTTTCACGTATCCTCACAGAAAGAAATTTCATGGAGTGAGATTAAGCAACCTAGCCGGTCAGCGGACATGCCCGTGCCATCCAATTCATCGTTCATGAATATTCGCATCCAACCAGTTTAGTGCGTGGCTGTGCTGGCACCCCATCTTGCTAGTACCCACACAAGTGTAGGACTTGACGGAGGAATTTCACTGAAAAATCTATCTACCGTTCCTTTAAGGATTTCATCCACATAACGCTGTCCAGTCAGCATGTCATCGGAACAGATGGTGCCAATTCCATCTCTGGCGAAAATTCCGCACCAACCATTAAAAGACCACTGGTACTGGTGCCGAGTGTGCTCTCCCCGGGTTCACTGCAGCCACTCCAGTAGTGGGCATTATGCAAATTTACTTGCGCGTTTCTGCAAAAACTCGCTTCGTCAGTCCAGATTACATTACTAAAAAAGTTCAAAGATTTGTCGCATTTTGTGATGATCCAATTAGAAAAATATAGGGAATCCTGCAAGTCCTTCTTTCGCAAGCTTTGGTGCAGGTTAAGATGATATGGATGCAAATCTGAGTTATTCAACATCTGCCAAACTGACAACTTGGAAATGGGTGCCTGGGCAGCCACGTCTCGCACGCTAGCTTGAGGGTTCACTGCCATAAATGCCAGAACATCGGCACGTAGGTTGTCACTCAAGGATAAAGTTCTCAGCCGCCGTTTTGTGAAAAAGCCGGTTTCTCACATGTTTAAATTTTTTCTTATAATTTTGAAGCGTTATTTCTACAGCCACGCTTCCATGAGCGCTAAATCCTTGCGGCCTTTGTTGTGTTGCCATATGTGACTCCCAAGGCAAGGATCATGCTCGCCTTCTGTTCATCAGTTCGATGCCCCACATGAATGACTACAACAGCCTCATTGACGCTTTAACAGTTAGAACAGTTGTTCTAAAATTAAATATTTAATTAATTCATGTATATAAGTCTAATTAACAAAAATCACTATCAGCTAGGCCATTGTACTAGGAATAATATGCATCAGGGTTTTTTGAGTAACGCTATTGGCTTTTTTAAAAATCGTGCTGCGAGTTGAGAGGGACACCCTGTATAGTTTAAGTGAAAAAAATTGTATATGTACAAGAAAGAAAAAGTAAGAATATAAACCAAGTACAATACAATCTCTTTTATTTGGTGTGATTTTCACAATCTGTTTTCCATTACCATTAACTAATCTACAGTGTTCTTCACTTGCTGCATTCTCAGTCAACATAAACTAACTGGCTTTCAGGAGTGCACGTACACTCTTACAATGAATGAATTTGGGGGCTGTAACAATACGACAGGAAACAACAGGTATGAATGATGCTGCTTAAATTTTGATGACAGACTTATTATGAGATTTTGGTAAAACTTTAAGAAAACATAGCTGAATACACACATCAGTCTCAGTATGAGCAAGAGAAATTTGCTTTGTCTGGGATGCATTTTACAGCACGTCGACCATTATAAAAGAAATGATGCTAATAGCTCATCAAGATAAATAGCTTGAGCAAGTTACCAATTCAGCCTGTCACTCCACAACTTGTCTCCTTCCCAGCAATTACTGACATATCATACTGGCTACGGCACATTAAATGTTTCAACATGCATTTTCAACACCAGCGAATCTCGAAGTAGAAGAGCGTGCAATCAAAATTTCCCAAATTTTGATAATGCCACCAAAGATAACTTGCATATAAAAATGATTGAAGGCAAAGATAAGGTATACCAAGGATGGCATACAAGGCATTACAGGGTTCAGGAACAAAATTAAAATATGTGGCAGCACGAGGTATTCTGCACACTTTACATCAGCTTATTGCGGCTCTCGTCTTAATGACCCGTTGTTTCCACAATGTGCTTGCCGACTTGTTTCTCTAGGAATGTCAGTGGGCCAGGGTTGTCAAGGATGACCTTGTGGAATGCTCGGACATCGAATTTTTCACCTAAGAAAAAAAAAATGAATAAATGAATATGGGCAGTGAGACCTTAAAAAAAAAAGAAGCCTTGTGCTTATGTGCATGCACCCACTCCCACATGAGCACTCACACACACACACACACACACACACGCACGCACACAGAGAGAGAGAGAGAGAGAAAAGGGTAAATCTTTGTAACCCAGAGTCCCCAACACAAACTGAAACGCCGCAATTTCGAGGCATAATTGAGAGGCCTGAAAAAAACTTTTTTGCAAAATGAGCAAGAGGTTAAATGACTGCAATGCCTTTCAAAGAATACACTAACCTTTTCATTACTGTTTACGAGTATAGTTGTCATGAGACGGTGTAACGAAATGACTGATGACAACTAAATAGCTATTGGTAGCGAGAACAGGCGGAGTCACCTCCTGGTGGCTACTGCATGAAGCACGCCTACTGTGGATTGCTCCCTGCATAGTTTTGCATGTGTGCGTACGTCATCTACACCCTGAAATTGCTCCCTGCATAGTTTTGCATGTGTGCGTACGTCATCTACACCCTGAAAGCGTGGTTTGTTCCGTTTTGTTCATAGAGTTTCCAATACTTGCCTAAAGAGAAAAGTGGCACTGCAAGCAGTTAGACGTATTGGAATGCCAAGATATGTGAGTTTCAAACATGACTTGGATTGGTGTATTTCGCGTAAAGGCCTAATACTTCAAAGACACGTTTGGCTTCAACGTGCTCCTTGTGTCAAAATAGCTGATTTTGTACTGAAGGAGCACGTAGTGAGCTATTTATTTTTTTATCATTGCATAAAAACTAGCTTTATTTACCACTGAAAACTTCTGCACTGATGTACAGTTAGACGCAGTGTAAAAAGTAATAAATGGCCGCCGAACTTGGCAGGCAGACGACAAAGCCAAAGTTCACTCTGCCACGGCTAGCTGTGTGTTCCTTTCGTTCGCCATTTGGTTATGCCGTTGAGGGGAGTGGACCTCTAGTTTAGAATGTAATACGCCTGAAAGGATTCATCATAATAATAATTTCGCTTTAGAGGACCTTTATTTGTGCAGTCGTATCTGCTTTTGAGGTGAAGCCTTGCTCATCACCAGCCAACACAAGCCTCGCAGACATATATACTGTCAACACCAGTGCCTGGATGGCGGCCATTAAAAAATTGGGATAGACGGTGGCGGCAAATTTCCGTCTAGGTATTTTTGCAAAAAACTCTATGGTTTTGTTAGCTAAAGTTTGTCTGCTTGCAAGTATGCCCAACACGCTATACAGAAGCATTTGGCCTTGCTTGGCTATGTATGCCCTCATATGAGATCAGTGAGTGCAACTTTCGAGAGTTGTATATTGTTGTCCTACCTTCCATTTGTTAGAATAATTTCAGTGTGGGTGCTGCTTTCTGGTTGGGTCAAGCGTATTGTGAAGTGCACTTGGTATCATCCCAAACACGAGGAATATTAACATGTTCACTGCAGCATGTTTTTGTTGGTCTGGCTTTAGGTGCATCGTGACCCACCTGTGAAACACGCGGCTATGCCTCTATCTTTGACATCAACGAGATGGTGCTGCCACCTTTGCAGCGGGCATTTGGTGTGATTATTTGAAAGGTGCAAAGCTGTTTTCTAGCTGCTTCACATGAATACATGTTTAAATACGAAGTGTGCTTGCTCTGAAAACTCACATAAAATCAATTTATGTGATAAAATCTTTCCAACGAGATGGTGCTGCCACCTTTGCAGCGGGCATTTGGCGTGATTATTTGAAAGGTGCAAAGCTGTTTTCTAGCTGCTTCACATGAATCCATGTATAAATATGAAGTGTGCTTGCTCTGAAAACACACATAAAATCAATTTATGTGATAAGCTCTTTTCTTTACTCGGTTCCGTGCTTTCTTTTGCGCCTGTAACAGGCACAAGCCTCCAATAGGTGCTCTGAAATGTTTTGGAGCAGCAGGGAAAACTCCTAAACTTAGTTCAACGGCATGTAACTGAAAAACTGCGAGAGAACTTTACAAAAACAATGAAGAAACGTGCCACAGCCCGATGGCTTTGAAACAAACATGCCACCTCACGTCCAATGCAATAGACAATATATATTAATTTAATTGAAATTTTGAATTTCAGACAGCAGCCCAAGATGAATAGCTCTGGTGCGTGGGTCGTGCCGCACATAGCACAAACACATTTTTGTTGATTGCACCGTGGGTCACCGGTGGGTCATGGCGTATAAAATCAGAGAAGTATTCTTCTGGGCGTATCCTCCTGCAATAAAAAACACACCTCTGCATTCAAGTGCCAAAGTTATAGCAGCTGTAAGCAGACAAATGTGCATGAATTTGCAGCTGCATACAGGGAGTTCAAGCCGTGACTCACCGGTGGCCCACGCCGCAGTGAACATGTTATATAGTGTGTGAATGAAGCGTTTTGAAGACTGGTTAATAAACTAAAGCGAGGCTTTAGGCTATGCACTTTTGCCTAGCTGTTAGGTGGTGTTAAGTCTGGCCTGAAAATTCGTCTGGACAGGCGCCATTGTGCCTAAGCCGGTCTACTGGGGAGGCTGCCAGACGCTGTCGAAGATTTGAGCTATTACCCAGACCATGTGGCAAGCGAAGGCGAGTTCCTGACTTTCAACTACAGATCCTTTTGTCGTCTCTTCGAGCGGAAGCGGTGACTGATGCCCTCGGCGACTCAACTGGCGATGGGGAGGCTGTTGTGACCGGCGCCAGAGCTGACGGGGGAGCGGCGCTCTTTTAATCCTCAATCACGTAGCCGACCGGCGGGCTGCCTATGCTCGCCAGGCATTGTCCCTGCTAGCCCGAGGATGAGACGTCGTGTCGCCACGACGCCGTTAACCGTTCGAGAGAGGACAACAAAGACAGTATCTTCCTTGGAAGAGACCGCGGTGGCCACCGCAAATCACCCCGCTAATTAGGCGAGCTGTTCGGCGGACCCTTTGATGTAAGCTGTCAGGATCGTGGGACCTATCGACTAGCGGCACACACACGATGAGGAAGAGCCCCACTGGCGCCACCTTGCAGTGCAGTGTCCACGACTCAATATTGGACGTTCACGTGGACCGTGCATGCTCGTCCCCCTCACCTGTTGTGTGTGTGATTGGTGTTCCACTCGGAGAGGAGGAGCCTGACAGGGCTTAAAACGACGCCGCAGAGTGCTGGACGTCGCTCTGAACCATGTAACGGTTCAACCACCACGCTCGTGGTTTGTGAAACCACTAACCTTTCTTTTCTGTAAATATGTGTAAATAGTGCCATAAACCTGTTTTGTTTTCGTATCCTCCAGCGACCTTCCTTCCGACCCTTAACAGTGGATAACTGTGGCACTGTAGCTGGTTATGCGATACGCTTCAGTGACGCTTTAGTGACGTTTAAACAGTCGTGGTCCCACTACGGAGACATATTTCTATCAAGTAAAATCGGGCACTTCGTTACTTAAACTGTACCCTAAAAAAGGAGGGGGGGGGGCATGACATGGCTGTGGCAAAAATGGAGTTGCTGTGCGCAATTTTAGCCCGAGGCAGAATTTATGTAAAAACACTCGTGTGCTTACATTTTGGTATGCCTTAAAGAACTCAGGTGTTCAAAATTAACCCAGACGGCATACCGATCACGCAACACTTCACCTTTCTCAGATTATATTGAGCTTTTGTGTGGCATTGTTATTGAGCAACTGAATGCAGCAACTATTATTCATAGGGTATTAAAAAACTTTTCATGGGTCAAATACTTGTCCCATAAAATAGCCATGTTTTTTTTGCCCCACTGTCATGCGCGTAATCAATCAATGAATTCTCCCTGATGTTAGCTTTTTATACTAATATGGGAGAAAAAACAAGAGGGTATGTGTTAAATGTCTCCATAGCGCTAGAACGCAGTCAGCCATGCAGCTTTTTTGACTAATAACATCAACTGTCTTACATTTGATTGATTTGTGGGGTTTAACATCCCAAAACCACCATATGATTATGAGAGACACCGTAGTGGAGGGCTCCGGAAATTTTGACTACCTGGGGTTCTTTAACGTGCACCCAAATCTGAGTACACGGGCCTACAACATTTCCGCCTCCATCGGAAATGCAGCCGTCACAGCCGGGATTTTATCCCGGGACCTGCAGGTCAGCAGCAGAGTACCTTAGCCCCTAGACCACCGTGGCGGGGCAACTGTCTTACATTTAATGGAGAACTGAATAAGAAAGAGAAAACAGAGGTGCAATCACGTGTAGAGTGCATGAGCTTTCTTTCTTTTTTTTATATTCCAGATGAGTATGAAATAAAAACTTAATTAGTTTAGTCTTACTACAGCAGTGAGTAGGAGGTGGTACATAATTTAAACATGTATAAATAAAACAACAAAAAGACGTCATATAGTGCAAAAGCACAGTGATAGTCACCCAGGGTGAGCATTTCTTTGACTGCGAGATTTTGCCTCTCTCACTTGTAGAAGAAACATGGAAGGGGCTTCCTGCATATATTCATCAATGGGGAGCATAGATATTACCAGTAAACTGCAGTTAACACATTTTATTTTTCGACAATCTAATCAAACCACTCACAATACAGCGCCACTGTGTGCACTTGAATACGCACTGCGGGCTACCCATTTAGACTACCGCAGCGACTGTGCTGCCGCCTATTGAATGCGAGGCCCACCACTGGAGAAGCGGGCGCTGCTCCATGCAGTGACGTGCAGAGTTGGATCACGTGACCCCGCCTCACTATGGCGAAGGAAAAATGGCGATTGGATGAGTTGTTCTTAACTGGGACTTCCCAGTGTTTTCACTTTTGAACAGCGCTGTTTTGCTCTCACTTCCTGTGTGCAGACTTCTACAGACTACATGATCCAGAAAGCTGCAGCAAAAGCTATCGACGACACACCCCAGCGCACTATGTACGCAATGTTCCTGTCATGACCACTGACAGTGCCACTGTCACCACTCTCCTATGTTGTTGTGGTTGTTAATTCAAGCCCATGGGGTTAAAATGAGCACCGACCACGA